AATTCAAGAAAAGAGATAATAGGAAAATTTTAATACTATATTTTAAAGCTCGTTTGTGCAGTTTTGAAAAGTTTTTAATATATATATGTATAGATTATCGTACAACAGTTGTGAAATGGGAAATGCAATAACGCTCTGTTCAACACAAAATATAACACTACTTTAAATTAGCTCAAGTAATCGCATAATATTTTTAGCATATAATACAGAACTATTCTCTGAGTAAAAATATTCGGAGCTGGTCCCTAGATATAAAGTTAAATAAATGTGTAGATGTGAAAAAAATTCTTCGTAATAAAAAAGGGTTCCCCTGTGAGCAGTTTTTAAATTGAATGTGGTAAAAATTGCAACATGTTTTAAAATTTGAACTGTAATGAATAGATTTGAAGTTAAATGTTCTGACTGAACTTTTCTTAAAAGCTGAAGAGTAGTTCGTATACCGTAAGAGAGAGAGGGGAGAGAGAGAGAGAATTGTTGATTTCAACAAAAAAAATTAAATCGTTGTTTCTAATTCTTTGCGTTTTATAAAGCATTTTTTCAGAGTAAGGGTTAAAAATTAAATCGTTGTTTCTAATTTTTGGCGTTTTATAAACCATTTTGTCAGGGTAAGGGTTAAGGTTATGCGCTATCAATTATGCTTAGCATTTATATTTTCATCAAAATACATTTTTTAATAATGAGGTGGTTCTTTGATTTAAAAAATGAAGCAAAAGACATTTGTGATTTTTTTAATTCATGGTTGAACATATGTTCTTAAGATACATGTATGTCTGAATCTCCGAACTTATACTACGACCTTCTCTTAGTTCCTCGAAACATTTAAAACTATGAGTCACCCAATAAATTAATCATATAAATTAGCTAAGAAGGAAAAGCCTCGAGAAATGGGGTATACAATTGAGAACATGTTGGTTTCATACACATGCATACACAAATGAAATAAGGAAAACAGCTTAAGCGAGAAAAGAACAATATTTCATATGACAGAAATTAAGAAAAAGGAAATAAAAAGCTAGGTCGTTATTGAAAATTGATGTTGTCTGCGAAACTACCATCAAACATACCGACTTTTACTGCTTCCGGTTAAGACAACTGTTTCCGGAGCGTGAACATGCTTTTCTTGACAGGCGAACTCCCGCTTTGAGCATTATTGACAAAACGCCGTGTGGTAGTCATGGATAAGCGCTTTGATATTTTCCTAATCCTTCTGATTTTCTGCTAATATGTGTTAAGCTTATCCAAGAGTCAAACATTCACACAACAAATGTCAAATACACAAAATGCATTGATTGTCAAGTTCTCTGTGCCGTTGCCAAGAGCGAATTTTAAATACGAATTACCTGTTCTGTTCCGAGTCGTAAATATCGACAACAAATTTTTTAAGATAATTATTTGTTATTATTATGTTCCCCAAACGGAGTTTGGGAACATATTGTTTTTACTCGGTTTCTTATTATTATTAAGGTCTTCCGTCTCCAACGGAAGACCTTATTGTTTTCGTTCGGTTTCTTTTTCCCTATTATTATTATTATTCTTTTTTTTTCTTACCGATTTTGTGCACGCGAGTTCTCGGAAACGGCTTGGTCGATTTTCACGAAACTTTCAGATCTGATAGATATTGGTCTGAACCTTATTGGAAATTTTTTATATGTACGTCGTCACTTCCGGTCGTGAGATATGGACGATTTACTGATTTTCAGAGGGTCAGCTTGTCCTGGCAATCACTAAAAAACGAATGAAGATATTGACTTGAGATTTTCAGTGAAGGTAGAGGAAGGATATCTGAATTGCTTTTTTGAGTCTATATTTTTCTAGCGCAAAAGGCGTTGAAGCTCTCTTGAGCTCATTATTATTATTATTTTTAGGACCATCTAATTTTGTGCACGCGATTTCTCGACGACAACTGGATGAATTTTCATGAAATTTGCAGAAACAATGTGTTGTTATCTGAAATTAATTTATCCAAGAGATTTTTTGGAAATTTCTTTCTGGTGCCAAGTTACGGACAATTTTCTGATTTTAAAATGACATTTTAATCGCGGATAATCTCAAGAACGGTAAAAAATATCACTGTGAATCTTTCAGGGATTATAGATCGTGATACGTACTATCCAAGACGCGATCTTTTGTACGTCGTCTCTACTTCCTGTCGTAACGGCATGCAAATTTAAAAAGTAGAATTTTTCAACTTTTTTGTTTTTCAATATTTTCAAATTATATGAGTATGGCTGATAGAAACATATCTCATTAGGCTAAATATATAATTTGTTTGTAAATTGATAAATTCAAACTCGAGATATTAACATTCAAAAATATGAAGCGGGATCAAAATGGCGGCGGTCTTTGTCAATCCCGACATTTCGCAATAGGGGTTTACAGAGGCAGCCGAGCGTTTGCTTGAACGAAAGTAACATAAGGAACAATGAAATGTGTAGGGATACTTGGATTGTCACGTCGTAGGTTCGTTGCAATTCTGCGTCAAACTTCATTTATAATCCAAGGTCTCCTTACAAGTCTTCTTTAATTGGTTTTGGTTGGTTCTCAAAGTAGAATGTGCAAATTGAGTACAATATCTACTATCTTTTGTTTTGCATCACGGAAACACATAACTTAAATCATAGTTATAATTAATAGTTTTTCAAGAAACAATATATATAGTAAGTACGAAACGTGACCACTGTTTTCCCATGCACACTTGTGTCATATTAAACTAATAGAAAGGACAACTGTTACAATAAGAAAACATTTTTTTAAAAAGAAAACTATTTTTCAAAGACTGTTTAATTAACCTTTATAAACATTTTTTTTCTCAATGCAAGTTATTGAACATAATGGAATCTTATTCCTTGACCCTCGTAGGACGATCGAGGAATTTTTTTTTTGGTGAAACATACCACCATTTTCATGAAAGTTTAAGTAATTATCGGAATAGTCCGCTTTCGTGATTAAGAAGAATTCTTGTGCCTTTTGACATTTTTATCCTATTAATAGAATTATCCCAACATAGGTCTTATTCAACGAGATATCGGACGGAAGACCTACTCGTTGCTCGCAACGAGATCGCATCTAGTTATTATTATTATTCTTTTTTTTTCTTCTTTGTTCTCCGGTACTTTTTTTGTCCGCGAGTGTTCTCAGAAAATGTTCACCCAACTGAGCTAAAACCTTTTTAGGGTTAATAGGTGTGTAGTGTAGGTGTGCAACACGAAGGTTATTTTGCGTGCATACGCATGCACGTGCGGGCGCATGAAATGAGTGAAATGACGGATATACTTTATATAGCCATAACTTTAACATTTTTTGATGAAATATTTTAAAACTCATTTAATAAGGATGTATTAATAGTGTAGATAATGTGACACTGTCAAATTAGCACGAGCTCACGCGCATGCACGTGCGCTTCGCTCTGATTGGCTGCAACAAAAATCTCAATATCTTTTCTGTTTTTTGACGAAATGCTATGAAATTTAAAATATAGGCATACTTTAGGATGTACTACAATATGATATATAACAATTGTCATGTAAACACGCGCATGCACGTGCGATGCAATCTGATTGGCTTAAACTTTAAATGGCTATAACTCCCTTGTTTTTCAACGAAACAGTATGGGATTTAGAACATAGACAAACATAATGGACTCCCACAAGGAGGTATGGTCGTCATGCATATGCATGCACGTGCATGCACGTGTGCTTTGCTGTGATTCGCTGAAACAAAAATCGCAATATCTTTTTTTAATTTTTGACGAAATGCTTTAAAATTTTAAACATAATCATGCATTAGGATGTCCTACAATATGATATATAACAGTTGTCGTGAAAACATGCGCATACACGTGCGCTGCAATCTGATTGGCTTAAACTTAAAATGGCTATAACTTCCTCGTTTTTCAACCAAACAGGATGGGATTTAGAACATAGACAAGCATAACAGACTCCTATAAGAAGATACAGTCGACATGCACATGCATGCACGTGCGTGCACGTGAAATGAGTAAAATTACAAATACACTAGATTAAAACGTATTTTTTAATACTTTTGGATAAAACGCTGTAATTTCTAGTATATAAATAATGTAGACAAGATGATATGGTAATTACGCACATGCATTCAAATGCGCATGCGTGCAATGCATAAATTTGAATCACTGGGTGAAAAAAGTGGTTTCCCATCATGGGAAACTTTATGGAAACCACATGGAAACCTCAAGTTTACATCATGTTTCCCAGTGGTTTCCGTAGCGGATGCTAGGTTATTCCGCCAAGTTTCCGTGACACGGAAACCCCCTACGCTCCGATTCCATAAGGTATCCCGAACCACGGAAACCTCTGTAAACCTGAAGTTTCCCGAACATCCATGTAGTTTCCCGTAATGGGAAACCTGAAGATTCCACTGGTTTCCAGAATTAGGAAACTTGATGGAATCGGAGCGTAGGGGGTTTCCGTGGAATGGAAACTTGGTGGAATCTTTAGGTTTCCTTTTACGGGAAACTACATGGAAGCTCGGGAAACCTCACGATTCCTTAAGTTTCCTTGACTCAGGAAACCATATGGAATCGGAGCGTAGTGGTTTTCGTGGAATGGAAACTTGATGGAATCTTTAGGTTTCCTTATACGGGAAACTACGTGGAAGCTCGGGAAACCTCATGATTCCTTTAAGTTTCCTTGACTGAGGAAACCATATGGAATCGGAGCGTAGTGGTTTCCGTGGAATGGAAACTTGATGGAATCTTAAGGTTTTCTTTTATGGGAAACTACATGGAAGCTCATGAAACCTTATGATTCCTGAAGTTTCCTTGACTCAGGAAACTATATGGAACTTGTGTAGCACTTTCTGTGTGGCGGAAACTTTGTGGAATTATCTGGAGTCCCATTCCTGGTGGAAATTACTGGGAAACTTCAAGATTCCCTAACTTTTCTAAAGGAAGCAATGTGAAATAATGCATATTCTTTTAAAAATCTATCAAAAAAATTTATTACATGTAAAAGAAAAAAGCATTACCATTTTATATGTTTAATAATTCATTTGATGTACAAAAACTGTAACTGAATTTTTCAATGATATCAAAATATTAAATAAATTCATATATCTTAGATAAACAATGGAACAGTCTTTCACATTTAAGTCCATTCATAAGGGTCATTAAGTACTTCTTTCAACATCAGTTTCCTGGTTTTCTTCACGTCACCTATGATCTGCAATATTCATAAAAAATTATTATATGATGACAGAATTATAATGCTTGAATATAACTTAGAAATCTGAAAGATCAGTCAATGTCCTTTAATATACCAATATCAATAATTACTTTCCATGACCATGATACATATGATTTCAGCATTTAATGTATCTCTTTAATATTAAATGCTTTATGATAAGTGAAAAAAATAACATAATATAAATAATGTTTTCAGCCTTATTATGTCATTGAGAATATATTACTACATGTATCTCATACTAAGAACCCTGCTTTAAGTTTGATTAGTTTGAGAGAAAACATACCCTTTATAATAACAAAAATATCAGGGAGAGATTTTTTTTTAAATTTTGATATTCGACCTAGAAATTGATTGAAGATCATTCAGACCCTCCACCCCATTGCACAAAAGCTAGATTACACCAGGGGAGAAATATACTCTGGACTACGGTTTTAAATAAAGATATACAGTAGATTTTGATACTGACCTTTGACCTAGAAAATTAGTCCAAGGTCACTCTTCATCCTCTATCCACAGGCTCTCTGTAGTTTAAGTTTGAGAGAGAAATATGCACAGAACAAGTGATTTCAGATGGAGTGATGGGTAGACACTGTCTAGGGCATCCACAGAACAGGACCTAAAAATAATGCAATATATATGTATTACAGTATATATACACATGTACTTGTATGTTAATGATTTATCATATGCTGCATTGGACACATATGATTTTATCATGGTTTAAGTATACATGTATCTTATGAGTAATTTTATACCGGTATTGCATGTATGCTTAGTTTATTTAAGAAATAAATAACAAGTTTATAAACTTCAATGGGAGAGATACCACAGATGTATATATAAACAAGTAATTTAATTTTTTTTTTACATATATTGACCAACATTATTTACATCCATTCATCATGTTCATGAATTGGCTGATCAAAATTCAGTCAGTTTTAGATCTATATGATATACCATAAAGGACTTTCACATTTACAAAAGTTATTCCCCTTCGCAGGGTCGATCTGGGGTCAACCGGCTTAAGACGCTGTTTTCCCTCTTTAACCGTATCAACTTTGAGGGACAATATCTTAGAAATAAAATTTGTATGAACATATTCATTATGATTTTCATGTTGCCCCCATAATCTGGCAATACAGATACAGATCGTAATTGTCCAATATTTTTGAAGATTGAAAATATTAACAAGTAACTTACAAAGGACAAAGTGGGGAAAATGAGCGATATACCGACAATTGGAGAAAACTCTAAGGAATGTGAAATTCGTCTATTGGTGATGACAATTCCTGTTTTAATGTCACTGAAAAATTAAGAGACATTTAAAATTTAAGCCCTATTGTCATACACGCATGTAGTTTTTTCATCCATATAACCTTTTAGTATCATAAAATTTACCAAAATTTAATACTTCAAATAATTTCATTGAATATCTATAAAATAAAAGAAACTCTAAAAACTTAGTGACTTGCAGAAATTATTCCTTGAAGAGAAAAAAATCTCTTCGCCCAAGAAAAGATAACTCACTCGGATGACAATAGGGTAGTAGCCGAGGCCTTCAGATTGCACTCGGAGGGCCTTGGGTACTACCCTATTGTCATCCGAGTGAGTTATCTTTTCTTGGGCGAAGAGATTCACATTGTGCAGAAAGCAGGGATTTTCGTTAGATAAAAGCTATTTTCAATGGATATATAGATCTGGAATATTTTAGCCTGGATAAGTACTAGGACATCATTTGTGCTAGTTCATTTCAGGATTTGTGTAACTTTTCTCAAGTAAGTTGTTTTTTGACTTAGTTTAAAAATCGTGTGCTACTTTCGATTCTTCCCTTGTGTATTTTTATATGTGAAGTAGAGAACAGAGTGGGTAAGATGCCCCTGTGATTAAAGTAGAACTCTTTAGTGTGCAGTTTTTAGAGCTTCCTTTAAGTAATCAAAATACTGACCAGCAAGAAATCAGTTAATAAGCATTTCCTTTTTTTCATTCAAATTTTTGGAGAGATCTCAGAGTTTTTTCCTGTTCAATTCAGGTTCAAGACGACAAAGTTTTATTGAAGTGTATGTATTAGAGAACTGATTGTATGTCAATCATAGCAATACACACATAACATGGAGGGGGCAAATTGTTTCAGCCCTAGCTTTTACATACAACTTCTTGTAGCTCACAGCTGATATACCACAGTTCAGTATTTAAATAAAATTTAGAATCTTTTTTTTCAGGCAATTGTCATATACAGTCAAACCTGTATTAAGAGAATCATGAAAGGAAAAATTCACATATGACACCAAATGCTTACTTTACTGTTCAGAAATATACATGAAAATAACATGTGTATGTATAATGCATTTTATAACGCCTGTTTATTTCCACTTTTTTATAGTTATACTGCTTAATTCTAAAATGCTTTTACAATTGTCCTGTTAATTAAGAAATAAATATTTATTTTCTCGGCACATGAGTCATTTGAATATTGGGAAATAATGTGAACATCTGAAAATATTAATATTTTTTTCATACAGTATAAAACAGCTGCAAAGTTTTTTCTTCCTATAATTTTTTTTTTACAATTGATAGCCTATATTTATAACTTCGTATGTCACAGAATACAGCATTAATTTTTGTATTGCACTTGGTATCAAATTAAATTATATTTATGACTAAAATATTTATTTATCCTAGTAATTAATATTTTTTTCATTACTGAAATACCGTGTCTAATTGCCTGGTATTAAATCACTTCAATTATCACATGATATGGGTGCTAGCTAGCGTGTGTTTTGATATCCATTGGTGACACAATGCACATTCTTCTAGGATTTAGTTACTTGTTAATTAAAGTTAAACAGGCAGGTTTCATGGCTGAATATCCATTTGGCCCTTTAGCATGAAATGATATCGGGATCGACCTCAAAGGTTCATTTTCAAAATGGCTCGATCACTGACCAGAGAAACGTGATGTTTATTAGATTTTGATGTTTATTCAATAAATATCAAAGCGTAAGTAAAATATTCATTTTTAAATGTTGTTTTACTCTTAAAACTCGCATCATATAATTATTAAATGAAATAAAAGCGTGTTTGTAGTTGCTTTGAAAAACATAGCATGCTTGACAGAAACGAAAGTAGGAATCGGAAATATGTAGTCGTTAAATTCAGGTAAAATTGCTTGAAATTACTAAAATTGGTCATACAATAGTCGTTGTCGCTAAGACAGGATATCGTTTAATACAGGTAGAATATATAGGGAAAAGCATTGGGGGGAATTTTTATGGTCACATGTGACAGTGAGTCGCTTAATACAGTGGGTCGCTATGGCAGTTTTGACTGTACATACTAATCATGAATGAATTACCACTTACCAAATGACCACATCCTGAATCATCATACATTTTCTATGATTTTATCTCACTGGTTTTCTTTTAAAGTCACACAGTTTTCTTCTCTCTGAAATGATAAATTATGTCCAGGTACTATTGCATTCTAATTCAAACTAATTATGTAATAGCATTAGCAACAACCGGGATGGAAGAAAAAATAACAAGAAGTCTCTGTCGAGACTGTAGCTCTACTGGTTTGTACTTATCAAAAACTGATGCACAGAATTATGTATCTTAGTATAGTCTACTTGTGTGCCAAGTTATATTGAAATCAGACTAAAATTTAAGGAGGAGTAGTGTTTGCAGATAGACGGACAGACAGACAGATGGACGGACGCATTACTATCGCATAAGCTCTTCTGGTCTCTGACAAGTAGAGCTAAAAACAAGATGCGCTTGTGAAACACAGCAACAAAGTTCGAAAATGCAATTTTTTTTAGCATACAGGTCACAGTCAAGATCACATAATCATTGTCCTTGTTGCCATTTGAAAGCACTTCATTAGTGGAGTATACATACTAAATATGAAGCCACTATCTCATATAGTTCTAAAGTTATGGTGAAGGTTTAAGTTGACAACAGACACTCAGACAGACACACAAATATACAGTTATGGCAAAAGTTTGAACATTATAACTTGGTATACACACAGCCACTTCGAGGTATCAAGGGTAAAATTCACAGCACAGCGGGACTGCATTTTGACTTCGAGGGATCAAGGGTTTCGAGAGATCAGGAGTTCGAGAAATCAAGAGCAAATCTGCTTAGTTATATAGTGAAAAAATGGGGACCGGAGACTCACTTCAAGCGATCAAGATCTTCCGAGAAATCGAAGTTCAAGCCATCAAGAGTTACCTGTATATACACGATATAAGAAGCATGTTATTATTTGCAATTTTGACCTAATGACAGCTAAATCTGTTCAGTAAGACAATACCGTGTACATGTATGTAAGTAGTTTTATTGTGCATGATTATTTACTTATTTTCTTGATCTTCTCAACTTGAAGTGTTCTGTATTTTATTACCAAGTTTGTAATAAACATAATGAAACATACCCTTTTCCACATCACATCCTGTATCATACCTTTGACCAATATCAGCCCTAGGGCCTCTGTCCCTCTGGCTGATATTGGTGTCTCGGGCTAGGATGTAATATGGAAAAGAGTATGTATTATTCGCTATACATTGACCTACTCAGGTCAATAATTGTGAAAAAACTGATAATTCAAGCTGATGATTCATTTGCATTTCTTGACATACTATCAATATTAATTCACTATTAGGCTTTTCTTTTTTTACATCTTCATCTCAACAGGTTAGACATTACAAAAAAAAATCTTTTGAGCAGTAAACTATTTCAATAAACAATAAAACAAACATAATCTCTTCAGAAAAGTGGACAGGCTTTTACCTACATTCACTTTTTTATGTATATTTTTCCTCCATATCATCGTCATGCATATGATTAAGGGTTATGCTATTCGCTACAATCTACAGGTCCAGGAAAATCACTATATTTAGCTATATAGGTAAATCTACCTATATAGCTTTATTTACCTATAAAATATAGCTATAAGACAAAAAGTCGCATATTGAGGCAGTATTAGTTTTCAACTTTGAAATGGACTGAAAACAATTCACCAAAAACCCACTTATAAAAATGTTTCTCCTTTTGTGCAATTGAAATCAAAGATCTAAAAGTTTTGGGGCTATGTATAACAGTTAATCTGTGAGTAAGCAGCTACTTTAACAAAGAAAAGCAGTTTTGGTCAACAAGATAATTGATTGGTAATAATTGAGCACAATGCAAGGCAATCACACTCAGTCATGCCTCACCGCACTTCAAGCTATCCAAACAATAGAGATACATTTTTTGGTTAAAAAGTGTTTATAAGAGGCAATGTTTTTACTATCTATGCCCTAGGTTGTTTTTATCAATCCTTTTAAAAAATATATCAGCCATAATTTACATGCGACTTTTTGTCTGCTTTTCATAAAACAGAAACTTATTCTAAAATAGCTAAATATAGCTATATTATATAGGTAAATAAAGCTATATAGGTAAATTAAGCTATATAGCTAAATATAGTGATTTTCCTGGACCTGATCTATTCCAACTGTTCTGATGAGGATATCCTTCATGAATAATCGGATAAGCTGAGATTGAAGACACTTTTTGTAAAAATATCGATGCTTTTATCAAAGTTTTGAACCAAAAATATTTAATTTATACCTTTCCATAAGTCGTAAGTTCCAAAAAACAAGAGTTGGCTATCCGAAAAGTCAGAAAACACATGAATTCAAACCGGATGTTCTACAGTATGAATTTAACTACGAAACCATGCTCGGTGTAACTATCATCATCCGGATAATTTGAGCGAGGTTAAAAATATTTTTTTTTTTTTTTCCGAAAAGGATTCATTTATATATAGAGAGAGAACATACATATGGAGCATACATTTTAATAAACATGATAAAAGGCGAAACGTTGCCATTTTACAACATACAGCATGCACATGCACGGTGCCTTTGGGGCCTCCATAATCTAAGTTATGCTATATCACTGTCTCAATTTTTTTTCTCTCTCTCTTTCTCTCTGCAATATATACACTTAACAATTTAAAACTTAGGTATCCAACTTTTCAAAATGGCGTCAGAACAAAAGTTGCCTCCGATAGTGAAGATTTGTTGTTGCCAAATATTACAACTATTTACCGTAAAAAGTTAACAAAAATATACGTACACTAATCCTTCATTGTTGGCCATTGCATTTATCACAGTCTTAAAGACACTGGGTGGTGAAATCATCTTAACTTTTCACATTTACCAGCTGCTTACACCTTCTTCTTCGTCCTTCTCGATCCTCCAAAAATGGCGCCTCGGGAAATTGACCAATGAAATAAAGCGCCTACAGAGCGATGCAGGATGGGAAATATAAACTGTTTACATTCACTATGATTAAGTGTGATAATGAGATCTTATATTAGAATTTAATTAAGTTCTTCCCTTTTCATGGAATAAAAAGAGGGGCTCCTAAATATTTTGCCGATATGATGTGTAGGCCTAGTATATTTAGAAAAAGCAGAAAAAAAAATGTTTCTTGCTTGACACCTCAACTTATTTGCCTTCGGGATATGGGTTTCGGGGCTTGGTTGTTGGTAGTGGCCGTCCTTGCTGAAAGTACCCCCCCCCCCTTCCCCGCTTCTTTTAACTGTTACATGCATGATTATGAATTTATAATGTCACACCAAAAGATGTTAAATTTTTAAAAGCACATTTTTTTTATTGTGAACTTTCCACAGGAATCCTAAAAGGCATGAAAATGGGCTACAATTATAATATGATTATCAAGAACAGTTTTTTTTTTATTTCAATAGTGATGATTGAAAAGTTCGGTGATTAATAATTCATTGCTAATAAATTGTTGATTTTTTGGGGGGGAGGGGGGATTAAATTACTAATTGAACTCCCTCCTTTTCGGGTTTAATTAGATTTTGAGCCTGCTATCAATATTACTGGTGGACCTGCTAGACTTTTCTCTAATTGCTACATGTACATTGTACTTTAAACTCCTTGGCCTTTAGCTTAAAAAATTGCCCACATCATTTTAACACGTAAAATTGTTAAATGAATCAGAATGTTGAAAACCTTTTTCTTAGGAGAGTTATATCTCTAGGTGGAACAAAACTAACATCTTATCAAAGGCAGGAAAATATAACAGTATTTTAATTCAGTATTTTAGTCGTGATTGGTATAAGTGAAGTCATGGGAAAGATTATGTCGAAAGTCATCTATACTCGTTGATGTGCAGGGCTGTACTTATATGCATACAGCTTTAGCTGGTCCCGCCCTGTATTTCTTTAATGTTTTTTTTTTCGTTAAGAAATCTGGTAAGGTATGCTAATAAAAATAAAATCCCGGTTAGTTTATAACTCTAACGGAAATTACTTTCCTACAGGCCTGAAGATCGAGTTTATTAGTCACGCAAGTTTTTTTTTAAAAAGAGTAGCATATCGGCGAATAAAAATAAAGTAGTGTACAACATAGATAAAGAAATGTTTGTTGAAGTATTGACAAACTTCATACCTTTATAGAATGAAATCAACAAAAACTGCACAAAAATACAATCGTGACAATTATACAATGAATTAATTATACAATTAATTCTTTTAATAGATTGCCTTAGCATGCATTACTTTAAAAGCCATTGTTCTTAAGGAAAACAAAATCATGCAAAATATTATAGACTTTTCTTTATCTAGAGCAATGGCCTTTGGAGAAAAAAATGGCTGAAAATTTTAAAGTTTGTTAAATATAGTGTATGTGCGTTTAGGACCCTACATTGTAATTTCATGCGAAAAGTGCAGGCATTTACTACACGGGGATCTGCGTACATATTTAATAAACAAAAAAAAGGAAAGAAAAAAAAACGTTTTATGTGATGAATTATATTATAAACATTTATCTAATAAATGTCTTTGTAGTATGTTAGATTACAAATTTCACACAAAAACCCATCAACAATATTAAATACAGTTTTGATTTCACATTGATCTATTAAACGTCATTCTGATTTAATATAATTATACAAAATAAAGTTTAAAAACGAACAAATACGACTGATTATATAAGTATTATATTCAATACCTATAGAAAATTATTTAATTTCTACAAAGAATAGTATTAGAAAATTATTTAATTTCTAAAGATAGTTTTATTTTAAATCAGTAATGAAAATTGAAATAAAAATTCTAAATAGTTTGTTCTTTCATTGAACTTCTTAAATGTAGGTTATTTTATAAATATATTCTCTTGTATAACTTTATTTATGGAATATACAATTTTTTAAATGATAAAAGAAACACGAATCATCATCATTTAATTTAAAAGAATTTTCTGGTCAGACTGTGTGTGTACATAAAAAAAGAATCTTGGTAAAATTTTATTTTAAAAACAGCACCATAAAATGAAAATATATTGTATTTTTTAGGTAGAACAAAACCGATTAAAATTGAAATATAAATAAAAAGATAAAAAATTCATTTATCCTATGTTTTATTACGTATATATGAATACAATCTAGTTCCTTTGTAAAGTTCACATAGAATATACAAAAAATACACAGTGACAGGTGAAATCTTGTAAACAATAAAAAAAATTTCGAATATTTTCGACGGCACGTGTCTCCATCGTGGTACTGATGTATGGTTTTTTTTAAATAGTAGTTTTACTCTGTGTAACTTTATTTATGCCTCAAATTTAAAGAAACACGACCATAAAAGAAGTCGGAGACTGTGTGTGTACATGCTCAAGCAGCCCATTGTTTTTAGGTACAAAACCGTCTCAATTCACATAGAATATACAAAAAATACACAGTGACAGGGGGGCACGTGTCTCCACCTGAAATGGCAAAAGGTGTCCCTAATTACACAGGCCGACCATAGTGACTTCCTCAAAAACGTTTTTTTTTTTGGGGGGGGGGGGGGGCTTCTAAAAGAAAAAAAATGAAAAGCAACCCCCCCACCCCCACCCCCAATAATAAAAACAATAATTTAATAAATAAAAAAAAAACAATATTCACTATTAATAGTAAAATACTAGTATGATAATACTCAACCCCCAGCCAATTCGATAAAATGATTCTTATCTGACCAGTTTATATTAATATATTAAATCATATTAAAACAAAATCTTTATCACTTTCTAAACTTGTATTTAAAAACTTGAAACACTAAAAATGTAATTTTGACAAACCAACTGAAGTATTTTTTTCCTGACGGATTACCCCGGTATATAAGAAATGCCAACCTCTGGTATCTAACACAAATGCCTGGTAAGGTACCTTGATGTCTTGTGAATTATGTAAAAATGATTCTTCAATGTCAGTTGCAAAATATTGGAAAAAATTTAATTATTTTATTGAGGAACGTCTCACCTGTCCTTAATCAGTAATCGTAACTTGACATATTTCTTTATTTACTTTTTAATCGATCTTTTTAGTAAACCTTTTCTGTAAATAATTTCATTAAATGTACCCTTCCTTAGCTCTTCCATTTTTTCAAAGGAACATTCATCATAGACAGCTTCAAGAAAGTGGGATCGGAAATGATTGATTTCTACATAACTGCATGCACTTACTTTTTTCTATTCCACTTCACGCATTCTATACGAGTTTACCAAAACTTATGTGATAAATCAAATTCAAAATTAAATTAAATTAAATAAAATTCAGTTAAATAAAATTAAATTAAAATTGAATTGCGTTCACGGTGCTGAAATATTAAATTAATCACACAGAAATACACATCTAGTTATTTTAACTGTTTGAAGTTAATTATTTTGATACAGCATGTAAACACTTTTGAAATATTTCTATAATTGGTAAAAATATGGTAACATAATTAAATATTTAACTTTTTGTAAAATAAAAGGTAGGTGGGTTAGTATTGAGATATACTTTCAAAGTTTCCCTGCTTGGGAAACATGGGGAAAAACTACACATTGGTGGCTTCCATGTTGGGAATCTGTATGGAAACCACTGAGGCATGTTTACATGGTTTCCTATCTTGGGAAACTTACGGGAAACCACAGGTTGGTTGTTTCCATATCGGGAATCTACATGGAAACCACCGGGGCATGTTTCCATGGTTTCCTATCTTGGGAAACTTACGGGAAACCACAGGTTGATTGTTTCCATGTCGGGAATCTATGTGGAAACCACCGGGGTATGTTTCCATGGTTTCCTATCTTGGGAAACTTACGGGAAACCACAGGTTGATTGTTTCCATGTCGGGAATCTATGTGGAAACCACTATGTGGTTTCCATAAAATGGAAACTATATGGAAACTACTGATGTCACGATTCCCATATGTTTCCATCGGGTTTCCAAATTTGGGAAACCTGGCTTTTCATCTTTATATATTTTACAGTAATTGTGGAAGTTGTGCTACAGAATTTTACATATTTAACAATAATTGAGTAAGTTGCGTTACAGAATTTTATATATTTTACAATAATTGTGGAAGTTGTGCTACATAATTTTATATATTTTACAATAATTTAAGAAGTTGTCTCACAGAAATTTATATATTTTGCAATAATTGGAAATTGAAGTTGTGCTACAGAATTTTATGTACATTTTACAATAATTGTGGAAGTTGTCTTACAGAAATTTATATATTCTACAAAAATTGGATGTTGTGCTACAGAATTTCATATATTTTACAATAATTGTGGAAGTTGCGCTACAGAATTTTATATATTTTACAATAATTGTGGAAGTTGTGTTACAGAATTTTAAATATATTTTACAATAATTGGAAGTTGTGCAGTAGAATTTTATATGTGAAGCTGTGTTACAGAAATTTAAACATTTTACAATAATTTTGGAAGTTGTGCTACAGAAATTTATATATTTTACAAAAATTGTGGAAGTTATTTTACAGAAATTTATATTTTTGCAAT